CACACTCTTCCTCATATACACTCTCTCACAACTTTTCCCTCACATACTCCCTTACACTCACTCTCTCATTCTTCTTCATATCCCCTCACATACACACTCCCTTACAGTCTCCCCTCACACACTCAAAAATTCTCCCTCACAACTCTCCCTTATACTTTCACATACTCTCCCTTACACTCTCTTCCTCAACTATACTCTGCCTCACACTCTCCTTCACACATCCCATACAATCTCTCTGATACTCTCCCTCATATTCTCCCTTATACTCTCTCACACTCTTCCTTAAACCCTCTCTGTCACACACTCACTGCCACCTTGACTGGTGGCGTCATCACATATTTTCCTACATCTGTCCTTCATGTGTGGGTCCCTAAAGCCACCTTTGGCACTGGGATGAGAGTCACTTCCTCCACAGAGAAGTAGCATAAAACCCCCAGAGTTGGGGAGAACTCAGGGGTCACGGTGTTCATCTGGCACGGACAAGGCCCTGAGTTCAAGTCTCAACACCTCTGATCCCTTTGCCAGTGTGTCCCAGGGCCCCTTTCACAGGCCTGGAGGCTGAGTATTTTCAAGTATGACCCTCGAGTCCTCTGAGTACTGCTATGGAGGCCCTCCTCAAAATAAAACTACCCCTAGGGCAGGCTGGGTCAACTAAGACCCTCCAGAGCAGAGGACATTGCAGAGACTCACCTGGGCTCTCTGGTTCAGCATCTCTGGATTGTCACTAGGGGTAGGGAATCCCAGAACCTGCACGGCAAGTGAGGGGACTGGGCTGTTGGCAGACATGGTTTGGCCTCCCTCTGTGACCACCAACCCCTCCTCCTCACACAGTGCAGTGAAGCCATCTCTATCTCTCCTCTCTGCTTCACACCCCCAAGAGCTATTCTTGGGCTTCCTGCACCTTTTCTGGGGTGCATCAGATGGTGTGCTGAGGGCAATGGGACCCCGTCATACTACTCCATCACCCCCATGTCTTCACACCACACAAGGGCTGAGGGCCGTCAGCTTAGGGACCCTTTGGGACAATTGTGCCAGGATTCTATCCTGCCGGTCACTGGTCTCAGTAGTCTACAGTCTTGAGGACAGCCAGCCAGTGAGGGAGACAGAGCCTCAGGGGACAGGTTCCTGAGTCCCAGGTGGAGGGTCCATGCTGATGGTGGCCGGGAGCCTTAGGTTGGGGGTATCACACAGCCATGAGCTGGGGGTGTGGACGGGGTGAACTGGGGCAGAGGCTCCCCTGAGCGACATTCCTATGGGGGTCAGCTCCCCTCAGCTGCTGCAGCCCCTTGCAGGGCACAATCCTGGAATACCCACAAGTTTTTCTGATCCCCCCTTTTTTTGGGCTTTTTTTTGGTAACATCTGGGGCAATTCTTAGGGCTTACTCCTAGCTCTGCACTCAGGAATCATTCCTGGTGGTGCTCGGGGGACCATATGGGATGCCAGGGATTGAACTCAGGTCAGCAAGGTAAACGCTCTATCCGCTGTCCTATCACTCCAGCCCCGTCTTTCTGATTCTTTCTCTCAGCCTCGCACCTGGTGGTGCTCAGGGATGGAACTCAGGAATCCACACATGACAGGCACAAGCTTCTTGAGTCCTTTGGCCACAGCCCGATCCCAGACAGGTTGTTTTGACAGGATTACCCAGGGCGTGTCATTCCATAGCTGCCTCTTCACACATTGCCGGGCCTGAAGTGAAGGGCCAGGCAAGCTCCATTGCCACCGAGCAGGGCCCAGTGAGGTCAGAGGTCAGGACCACGGAAGGGGCCCGCGGATATGACCGTCAGGGCTTTGGCAGAAGACAGGGCCACTGCCATGGTGGGTTTTGCTTGGTCGTCTGGAGCAGATTCCTGAAGTGGGTCCCACGGATTCCTGCCCAACTCCAGACAAGGCTCAGCTGCCCCGGACACTTGCTGACTCAGAGTCACCCACACTATCCCCCCACCAGCTGTCCCTAGCCTCTTGGCAGGTTCTGGGTGTTGAGGCAGAGGGTTGGGACCTTTCCAGGCATTGATAGGGGGCAGGGGTGTCAGGTGGGTGCACTTAGCACCCAGATAACTCAGGTCTGCTGGGCAGAACACAGCTCCTGGGACTGTAGCAAAGGGAGTGGGTGACAACAGCCTCCAGGATTGGGTGAAGGGTGCGAGGTGGGCGGCCCTACCTCAGAAGCTTGCGTTCCCAGAAGGGCATCACCCTATCAAAAGCAGCTCCCCACCCCAGACCAGCCTGGGGTCCCCAGACTGGGAGAGTAGTGAGTGGTGGAGGCCCCTGCTCCCTGAGGACCGCAGCGTCCCAGGGGGTGACTCCTCCCCTGTCCATAGGCACCCCCAAGCCTCCCAGACTTGTGAAGAATGCTCCTGGCTTCTCAACTCTGGCCCGGGGTCACCTGTGGGAAGGGGTGAGAGACTTGGCGGGGTTGGGGTGGGGCCATGACTTGCCATCAGGCATGAATGAGCAGTGAAATGAGGGAAAGAAGGAACGAGTGAAGGAACGAGTGAAGGAACGAGTGAAGGAATGAGTGAAGGAACTCAAGTGAAGGATGAGAAAGTGAAGGAATGAATGAGGGCCTGGGAGAGGCTGGAACACATTACCTCAAAAACCTCTGGGGATCACAAAGAAATGATTCTCTGGCCCTCAGCACCCCTTAATCCTCTTCCACAGCTCTGAGATCGCTGATGTTTTCCTGACCTCTGAGTGCCCGATGCCCACCAACCTGGTACTTGGTGGGCATAGCCATCTCCCGGGGAAGTGGCATGTGGGGCTATGTTGGATGGCTTCTGGGTGAATGTGGTGTAAATGAAGAGGTGAATGAGTGTTGGTAGCCAGTGAATGGAGGAATGGGTGGTGGAGGTTGGGGAATGAATGAGTGAATGTTGTGGAGGCTGGGGAGTGAAGAACCCCAAGAGAGCCAGTGTGCGTCCCCTTGGTCCCCGCGACAGGACAGCCTCACGTGAAGAGGTTGCTGGATCTGACTGGCCCAGGCAGTGTCTGGGCCACGTGGCAGGTGAAAACAGAGGCCGTTAAGTTAAACATCAAAATAACTGCTGGAAATTCCCCGTATTAAAGGGTGTGGCTGTAATCAAACCACAGCCCGTGCTGGGAGCAGAGCAAACCAAATTGCCTGGGACTTTCCCCGGGAGAAAGGCACCTCCCGGGAATCCAGGAGGGACGGGCTGCGAACCCTGTGCCCAGCCAGGGCCGTGCCAGGGAGAGGCCATGGGGAAAGACCGGAGGGATCACTACAGTCTGGCAAAGTGCCAGACGTTCCCCACCCCTGACAGGGGGACACGGGACAAGGTCCTGGCCCCACAGCCTGAGGATTCCTCACTCCTGGTGCCTGCCTAGGGCCACCCCGGGGAGGGTGGAGGGAATGGCCGCGATTCCTATTGCTGGGGACACAGCTGGCCGGGCACCTAGAGGCAGCAGTGGGCAGTCCCAGTGCTGGACATGGCCAGCAGAGCCTGATTCGCTCTGGGATGACCCTCCTTCTCCTTCCCCTCCCCCCCATCTCCCCCCGCCCTCACTCCTGTCTCTGCACCCAGGGGGCCTTTCTGGTGGGCTCTGGGGACCATAGGGGGATTGGGCCCAGACCGGCCGTGTACAAGGCAGTAGTTTTCCTCACTTGACTTTCTCTCCAACGCTGGCGCCCGTTTTCCTTCAGCACAGTGAGGGGGTGGGGTCCAGCAGTGGGTCACCAGGTCCCACTGTACCCCCCCCCCCCCCCCCCGGGCCCTGAACTGGCTGCCCGGGCCTTGCACTTGGCAGAGCTGGGCTAAGGCTCTGCCGCCCCACTCCCGGAACTCCTGTGGCCCTGGGGCACCCGTGAGCAACTGGGGTCCCCAGGCACCCAGCAGTGCGACAGGAAGGGTCGGGTGAGTCCAGGACTGCCAGGGAGCACCGCCAGCTGGGTGGCCCGGAGCCGCCTTGCACACCTCGAGTGACGGTCTGTAGCCCAGCGTGGGGGGATGCGGCCCCAGAGCCTATGTCCGGGGCTGGGGGAGGGGGTGTCCACAGTGCTGGAGCCTGGTGGTGTCCCTAGGAGCCCCCACTTGGGCCCATCCCTGCCGGCCCCTGACAAGTCACTGCCAAGCCCATGCCGGTCACGCCCACTGTGCGACCGGGCCAGCTGTGCTACCACCAGGACTCACCCCGTTCCCCCTCCCTGGGGGGCCCTTCCGCTCACCACCTCGGGCCACCCAAGTGTCACTTCCTCTTTGGGGCCCCCGAAAGGCAGACAGGAAGCTGGGGCGCACTGGGCTGCGGCTGACCCCGTCCAGGGTGGTTCCCGGCCGCAGGCTGACCTTTGTCGGGGCACCCGCAACCTTCAGGGCCGCTCACAGAAATAGCAGCTGAGGCCCCGGGAAAGGACCGCGGGGCAGGGCTGGGCCAGGGTGCCCGAAAGGCACCAGCTCCTCCCTGTGCCCACAGGGGGTCGTCCTGGAAAGTCCTGCACGTCCCGGTGCCCGGTTGCTCTGCGGAGCTGTCCCCAGCACTCCCGCCCCCCCTCCAGGGAGATGCCCAAGTACCTGTCACTTCCCTAGGAGCCTGGACCCCCCCTACCCCCGATGGCAGCGCCTGTGGAGGAAGGTGCCCGGCCCCAGAGCTTGGCCCCACATCCTCTAGGGGTCATGCCCTGCCCATGGCCCTTCCTGGGGGCTTGTGACCATGGCGGGGGTGTGGGGACTCTGACCCCTGCCGCCCTGGAGTAGGGGGACCCCTTTATCCCCTGGGGCCCAGGCAGGGGGTCTCCAGCACTTTCTGGGGCTGGGTCCTGCCGGAAGGGGCAGGAGGGACAGAGGATGAACCATGCCTGCTGTCCCTCTCTGCGGCCTGCCACAGCTGGGTCGCCGCAGCCCTGGCCACCTCCACGGGGCAGCAGGAGTGGAGGGACTGACGGGGCCCCCTGGGGCCCAGGAGGTGGGCTCAGTTCCCTCGTCCATCATAGTCTGCGTAGGAAGGGCAGACAGAGGTGACCACGGGCTGCTCAGCTCAGGGCCCAGGGTCAAGGGAGGCCCAGAGCTGGAGGCGGGGGCGGGTGCTGGCCACTGTACCCAGAGCTGGAGGCGGGGATGGCGCTATGCGGGGTCCGGGCAGCTGCCTTCTCCTCCCGCCCGGTGACAGGACCCCCGAGGACCGGGGGCTGGGCTGGGTATAGGGAGGCTACAGGCGGGACATTCCCCAGGCCTGGCCGCAGGCAGCGGGGGCCAAGTCAGGGGGCGTAGGGACAGACCTTCGGGGCTCACGGGGACTCCGAGGGGCACACGGTCTCAGGCAGTCTCATGGTTTGTATTGGAGGTTGGAGCCTGAGGCGGTGCATTCTTGTCACCGTCCTGGTCACCTCTGCCTGCTTGGCAGGGACGGGTGAGCTGTGGGCCCAGGTTGTTGCCAGCCCGCAGACAGCCAGCAGGATGGTTCCCCAGAAGCAACAGACTCGCCCCTGAGCTCCCCACCCCACTGCAGCTGAGCACAGGGCAGTGGGCAGGAGAAGGGGATTGAGCCCACCTCCTGGGCCCCAAGGAGCCTCATCAGCCCTGGTCACGTTCGGGCATCACGGGTTCCTAATGCTCTGAGAATGTTCGCGGGAGCCCTGGGGGCTCAGTCCAATGTCAGGGGGCATCCGGTGGGCGTGGGGTGCAGGTGGGTCCCTCAGTGGTGTCTGTGCCAGCCTCTGCCTCTGCCCGGCAGACTGTCCTGAGAGTCGTGTAGACCAGGAGACACTCACACGCAGGCCCTTGCCAAGTCCCTCTCGAGGAAACAACAGTGTCCTCCAGGCCCCTGGGGGTGTCCACAGAGCCCAGGTTGCCTGGAGTCAGGGCACCCAGGGCCCAGGCCTGAGCGTCTCAGTCATGCTGGGCGGCTCCTCGTCCATCACGGTCTGTGCAGGAAGGGCAGACAGAGGTGACCACGGGCCGCAGAGCTCAGGGCCCAGAAGATTCCCCAAGGTGCAGAACAGAACTCCTGGCCCTGCCTCAGCCCATTCCACTGCAGGGAGCCCGGGACCAGGGTCCAGGGGAGCCTTAGGGCACACGGACAGCCAGGGGGCACCCAGCCCCTCCCCAGAACCCCCTCTCCAGGGCACAGTCCAGTCTCCAGGAATCTCATATTGGCCCTGTCCCATGACAGGGGACCCTGACAGGCCGGAGCCTGTCCCCTGAAACACCCCAGGAGCAAACCCCCTGTGTATCAGCAGCCCCTAGGGCAGCGTCTTGGGCCAGAGAGGAGATGGGGGCACAGCCCAGGTACCTTCCAGAGGAGGGGGGGAGGGTAGGAAGGAGCTCAGGGACGCTGGGCCCAGTCCCCCACTGCTCCACGAGACAGCAGGGTAGGGTGACAGTGTGGCCAACTCACCTGAAAGCCGCAACATCTGCCTCACCTCCTGAGGCACACCTGTCGGATCAAACAAGGCCATCAGAGCTGTCTGTGGGGACCGGGCCACTCTCCAAGCCCTGGGGCCCAGCTGCTGGGCGGCCACGGACACCTCCCCACAGAGCATGGCTGGCCGTGACAGAGCCACCTCCTGCATACATCACATGGTCAGCCACGGAGTCACCCTCCACATCACGTGGTACCACAAAGCCAACTCCCACATCACGCAGTCTCCACAGACACCTCTCACATCACGCAGTCTCCACAGACACCCCCCCATCACGCAATCTCAACAGACACCTCCCCCATCACATGGTCTCCATAGACACCTCCCACGTCACGCGGTCTCCACAGACATCCCCCATCACGCAGTCTCCAGACACCCCCCACTCATGCAGTCTCCACAGAGCCCCCTCCCCCATCACGCGGTCTCCACAGACACCCCCACATCCCACGGTTTCCACAGGCAGCTCCCACATCACGCAGTCGGCCACGGAGCCCCCCTGCAGCTTTCTGCTCTAAGGTGCACTTTCTTGGAAGCTTCAGGGGAAAGTGGGGTGTCTCGGACACCTGCCTCCGACTCAAGACGCGCCCACAGCCTGGCCCAAGGGTGCAGACATCAGGCAGACATGGGCAGAAGACACCCCACCAGGGAGAGCCATGGTCTCCACTCACTGGGCCCTCAAGCTGGGGGGGAAAACCCCAGCTTCCTCACGAGGCCTCGGGACGCCACTGAGTCACCAGACTGACCCCAGGGTGACCCGCGTCCCTGAGGCTAGGTGGGGCAGCCCAGTGGCCTCTCTGACAGGGCCACACACCTTCTGGCTTTCTGCCTGCACCCACAGACCCCAGCCCCAGGCTCACACTTGCATAGACACTGGGTCACACTGACCGCTGCCTGAGTCCAGCACTCCACAGCGTGGCACTGCGACTCTGGACCCACCCCACAGGAACAGACGTCCCCTGCCCGCACATGCCCGGTACCTGTGTAGTGCCACGGGGCACAGCGGCTCTTGCACAGCCAGCTGGTGGCCACAGCTATGCTCACGCCTATGACCACGCCCACAGCCAGCAGCACCAGCGTGGATGTTCTGGTCCCCTCTGGCGACCTGGGTGTGGTGCTGATGCCAAGTGAGCCAAGGGAGACTCCTGCAGGAAGAGGGGGGTGGCCGTGTGAGCAGTGTGCAAGGAGCCCAGGCTTTGCGAGCCTCCACCCCAGAGGCCCTGGGCTTCTGTCTCCTGGGGTTGCTCCTCTCCCCCCTCCCACCATTGCTGGGCACCCACAGGCCCAGCGGAAAGCAGAGATTCTTGCTGGCTCATTAAAAAATCACAGTGGCACAGTGGGGAGGATGTGGCCTTGCACACAGCCGACGAGGTTCGATCCCTGGCACCCATACCTCCGAGCACATCAGGAGTGACTCCTGAGTGCGAGCCAGGAGTATACCCTGAGCATCGCCGGGCGGGGCTCCCAAACCAAACCCAAATCAATCAAAATGGGGACGGGAAAGGTGGCCCCACCTGGATGGACTGCATTGCCTGGCCACCCTTCCTCCTTGTGGCAGCGCGGGCCTTTTCATGGCTGGAAGAAGCCTCGGCATGGGGAGGGGATGCCCTACCTCCCCCATCAGACCACCTTCAATTTCTGAGCCTGGGGCTGCAATGGCCTGTGCATGCTCCGTGGGCCTCAGGTTCAGACCTGCCCCGGGACTGGCCCTCACACACGAACCGAACCGTGCCTCCCAAAGCATCAAGAGTTGCCTGGAAACTTTGAAGCTTGTCAGAGGTGCGGGACGCTGCCTGGGCACTGGGGCTGCTAGTCCCAGGAGACTTTCTACCTACTGCTGCGGTGATCACAAGTAGGTGGGGCCTGTAGTGGAGGCAGGACCCTGAGGCATGGGGGTGGGGCCTGCGGTGTGGGGGCGGGGCCTGCCGTGAGGGGTGGGACCCTGAGGCGTGTGGGCGGGGCCTGCGGTGTGGGCGGGGCCTTGCTGTGGGTGGGGCCTGCAGTGGGGGCGTCACCCTGAGGCGTGGGGATGGGCCTGCGGTGTGGGGCGGAGCCTGACGGGTGGGGGCAGGGCTTGGTGCAGTGTGGGGGCAGGTGCACTTGCCCTCAGAGACGTGCCCCTGAGGTCACTTGGACCCCTGCTGTTGCCTGTGGCCATCTCAGTCACTCTTGAATGAAGACTGGGACTCAGGTCACATGTAGCCCTGGCCAGACCTCTCAGTGGGTAGGTGCCTGCCTCTCCCTTGCCAGCGGGGCGCCTCACCTGTCCCCTCGCAGCTCACGTTCGGGCCCAGCAGTGTGTTCTCCACGCAGCAGTCCACCTGGGCAGGGCCAGCGCGGCCGAGGCGCAGGACGCTGAGCACGTCATAAAGGCCTAGTGCGTTGAGACGCACGGTGCTGTTCTGCAGGTCCTCGGCCAGCAGGCTGCAGTCTGTCAAGTTGATCCAGTACACTGTGGGCTGTGGGTACCCATTGCCTGAGGTGCAGGTGAAAACCAGCTCCCCTTCGGCGGTGGGCTCCTGGGATGTCACCACGGGCGTGCTGTAGCTGGCTGTGGGGACACCGTGAGGCCTGGCTCAGAAGGGGGTCTGGAGGTCAGCAAAGGGCTATGCCTGCCCAATGGGCAGGGAGCCACTTACCTTCTTCCTGCCCCCTGCCCCCTGTACTCTCCAGCACCCTCAGGGCCGGGCTACACTGGGCCAGAACTGAGGCCTCAGGTTCGACCTCCCACACCAGCTCCGGAGCTGAGTGGGACCCCGGTACCCCAGGGGTGCCGTCTCTGACATCCTGAAGCCCAGCGTGCACCTTGCCCCCACCCTTGTCATTCCTGCAGGTCAGGGGAGGGAAAAGAATGAGATTAAATTTCTTTAAAAGAAAATGCATGGGGCTGGAGTGATAGTACAGTAGGTAGGGCATTTGCCCTGCATGTGGCCAATCCTGGTTTGATTTCCAGCATCCCATAGGGTTTCCTGAGCACCGCCAGGAGTAATACCTGAGTACCTGAGTGCAGAGCCAGGAGTAACCCCTGTGCATCGCCAGGTGTGAACCAAAAACCAAAAAAAAAAAAAAAAAAAAAAAAAAAAGAGAGAGAAAAAGAAAATGCATGACTTCCAGCAGGCTGGGGTGAACTCCGAGGGTCCCAGGCCGAGTCCAGAACTTCAGGCAGTGATGGTGACTGCACAGCAGGTCTGGAGCTCGCCCGTGTGACCCTCGAGGCTCTAGGTCTGTGGTGACTCCGCAGCCCTTCTGGGGTGAGAAGCAGCACAGGACGGGGCGCACCTCGGGGGCAGTATGACTAGAACCGTGTGCCCCCACAGGAGTGTGATTCCCATTGGGCCCTGTCAGACCAGCCTCTGTGAGCTAAGGAGGATCCCCGGGGGAAGGGGCAGGGGCAGGACAGGCCTGGGGTGCTGTGGCCACAGATCTTTCTGGTGCCCTCAATAAGGCTTCAGCTTCACACCAGATGGACGCTGTGCACCAATGTGCGGGTTTTCTCCCGCAATAGAAACTTCCAGAAAGGCAGAACTGGCTGTGCTTTCCCGGGCCCTGCCCCTAGGCGCCACTTACCAGCCACGCGCAACGTCACCCGTTGCCGGAGGATCTCCTCAATGCCCTGTGATCTCTTGAACACCAGGCATTGGTAGCTCTGTTCGTCCTGGGGGCTGACGTCTGCCAGGCGCAGCGTGAAATTCCCACGCTGCATGTCGGCTGGCACCAGCTCCGCCCCCGGCCGCTGCTCACACCCGGCCTCTGGCTCGCACCTGGTCCGGTCCTCAGAGTTGCCGCCCAGGTGCCAAGCCACGGTCTTCGGCATTTTCCCCACTGTGATCTGCCAGTACACGTAGAGGTCATCGAGCTCAAAGCTGGCTGTCTGTGGGTAGATGCAGGGCAGGGCCACGCTCTCCCCCACTAGCGCCTGGACCTTGAGGTCTTCTTCCTCTGCAAAGGGAAGCAAACGGGCCCAGACATGGAGGCTGTGGGCAAGCCCAGGAGGCCAGGACATGCTTGTGTGGGTGCTGGCAGGTGTTGGGCCTGTTCTGGCTACGCGTCTCCAATACCCTCTGAAGGTTCCCCGCAGAAAGGGGTCATGGGCAGGTCCACGGGAGGGTAGGCCCTGTGTGCAGCTTGGATCATGGGCACAGGCTAGGCCAGCACCAACTCAGGGAGAGGCCAGCGTGGGGAGGGCCCCCTTACGGCTCCAGGCTGCAGGGTTGATCTCTGGCACCACCTCTATGCCGCATGACGTTGGCCCTGTGGCCCAACCGCGTGTAACCACTGGCCCTCACAAGGGCTGGGCACAGAGGGAAGGGGAGTAACCAGCCCTGAGCCAAGCAGGGCTCCTCCTGGGAAGGAGGCAGGGATCAGGCTGCGAGGCCCTTCCCGGAGCGCCTACCACAGACCAAGGAACCAGACAGCTAACGCCTGCACCCCAGGGCCGGGACAAGGCAGTGCCCACGTTCCCACATCTGCTGATGGCCCCACACCCCTGCACCCACATCCCCCTGCCGCCATGCCTGTGCCCCCCCAACCCGGGATGAGAAACCAGCCTCACCCTGTCTCGGACCCCACCAGGCCCTGCCCATACCCCACGAGCGCCGTCCACACTCACCGGCTCTCAAGAGTCTGGACGGCAGCAGCAGCAGCAGCAGCAGCAGCAGGAGGCCGAACGGGGGGCTGCCGGAGAAGACCCAGGAGGCAGATGAGCCGTGGGGACACACATGGCCCAGAAGCCCTAAACCCCAACTCCCGGGCACATGAGCCTCTGGTGCCCCAGAGCACTGGGAGGCAGTGGGGGCCCGAGTGACCCCTCACAGCAGTGCCCCTGCAGTGACCCCCCCGCAGTGATTTCCCCCCGCCCCATGCCCAGGTTCCTGGACCTTCTTGCTGGGGTCCACAGCTGCATCCCGGTGCTCGCCATCTCCCCATAGCCTGCAGTGGGACTGTCTCCACAGAGACCAGAGCAGAGACAGTAGGTGCCCCGTCCCCCCACTCCCCTGCGGCTCCTTCAGCTCTGGGGGCCAGTGGGTACCCTGTCACCCGCACCCAGGCAGTCTCTGAGAAGAGACTCAGCACTTTTTGTTTGTTCTGCCCGTTTGTTTGGGGGCCACACCCAGCCGTGCTCAGGGCCTATTCATGGCGGTGCTCAAAAGGATGGGGAGATTGAACCAGGGTCTGCGCGTGCAAACAAGTGCCCGCCTTACTGTTGCTCCCAAGCTTTTCCGAGCGAGCGGTAGCGAGGGCCCAGGATGTGCTGGACAACGTGCCTAAGGAACCGAGGGGAGGGGGGCCCTCGACCCAGCTCCGCGGGCTGGGGGAGGCGCTGGTAGCCGGTACACCTCGGGGCCGAGCACGGGAGACGGTCGCCCCTGCCCGTCTCTGCGCGTTCTCCGGTGCGTCCTTCCCCGGCCAGGCCCGGTCCAGCCGGCGCGTCACTCCGCGGCCGCCCGGCAGGTACCGCGCCCGCCCGTCCCGCCCCACCCCGGGACTCCGGCCGCCGAGGGCTCCGGCCGCTGCGCTGTGCAGAGCCCGTGGCGGGGCGCGGGGCACGGGACGCGGGGTGGACGCGCTCGGGGTGGATGCGCGCGGGTGGGAGCGGGACGGGCGCGGGGTGCGGGATGAACACGAGCGGGGCGCGGGGTAGGCGCGGGGCGGGCGCGGGGGTTGGGGCGGGCGCGGGGTGCGGGGTGGGCGCGGGGCGCGGGGTGGGCGCGGGGCGCGGGGTGCGGGGGGGGGGGCGCAGGGCGGGCGCGGGACGCGGGCCGGGCGCGGGCGGGGCGCGGATTTGGGGTGGGCGCTGGCTGGACGCGCGCCGGGCAGCGCTGCGCGGCGCCCGAGCTTCTCCCGCCCCCCGCCCCGTCCCCGCACGGCGCGCGCCCACCTTCTCGGCTGCATGGTGGGGCCCGAGGCCGCGGCGTGGGGCCTCCCACAGGAGCCCCGGAGTCTCCGGCAGGGGCGAATCCACGGCCCGCGGCGCGGCAGGTTCTGCTCCGGGACCCGACGCGCCCGGCCCCGCCTCGCGCCGCGCCCCGCGGCCCGCCCCGTCCGGAAGCCCGGCCCGGCCCCGCGCTGGACGCCGGCCCCGCGCCGCTGGAGTCGGGGACTAGACTAGGGCTCCTGCCCGGTGGGCGGAGCAGGCGTCAGGCTCGCGGGCCCCGCACTTTCCCCGCTCAGAGCCCGAGGAGGCCTGCGTCCGCGCCGCCAGCCCGCCCCGTCGTCCGGTCCCGGGGAGGCGGCGCCGCAGGTAAGTGGGCGTGGCCCCGGGGCTCCCCCGCCCCTCACGCCCACGAAACGGGGGTCCAGGCGGGGACGCAGACCGGGCCGGGAGCAGCGTCCCGGGTGGGACGGGACCCCCCCGACGCCGTCTGCAGCCTCGCGCTGTGGGGGCGCAGGGGCGGGGCGGGCGTCGCAGAAGCCCAGGTGCTCGGCCAGGTGAGCGCGGGGTCCCCGCCCATTCGCTGCCTCCCGCGGAAGCTGGTAAGAGCTCGGGACAGTGCTCCGATAGGGGCCTGAGGCCGGGTGGGCACGCTGCTCTGCCCTCCGGGCTCAGACTGCAGGAGGCGCAGCTGGGCTGGGGGACCTTAGGCGCCGCGAGGAAGACCCCCCACCAGGTCGGGAACCGCAGCCTAAGCGCATCTCGGTCCCTCCCAGATAAACCCCCAGCTGTGTGGCCTCGGACGAGTCACTAGCCCTCTCTGTGCACCTCTCACGAGGGAAGCAGAGACAGCGGGGTCTGACGCACCGGGACGTGAGCTGACATGCAGACGAGGGTCTTCCCACACCTTCCTGTTCTGGGGTCTCCCTTTGTCCTGAGTCGCAGACCCCTACACTCAGGCCCAGGGTGCAGCTCCCACTCTGGAGAAGGAGGGGGGGGAGCCTGAGTTAAGGACTGACCCCCGCCCCAGAGCGGAGACCCGGGAAGCCTGTTCGCAGGCTAGTGGGGCCCAGTCTCTGTGCAGGATTCCTGGGCTGCCCTCACCGCCCCGCACAGCCCTGTGACGGCTCCTGCGAGCTGCAGGCCGCTCAGGAGAGCCAAGTGCCCCTTCCCCAGCCCGGAGTCCTGAACCCGCTGGCCCCGCCCAGACCCCACTGTCTCCCACCTGACCTCACTGGCCCCCACACTGACCTCACTGGACCCCACCTGACCTCATTGGCCCTTACCCTGACTTATGCCTCTCCCCTTGGCACCCCCCCAGCCCCCCCAAGGGGAAGCCAATGGTGTGTCCTGGGTTCGGGGGCACAAGGGTCCCTTCTCTGATATTCCAGCTTGGAGTCTCTCCCACAGGTCCTGCCTTCTGCTGCCTGGGGGTGGACATTTGCGTTTGTGGGGGCAGCAAACAGACCCCAGTGCCAGCCCTCCTTAGGACGGCATCCCTGTATTGCTGACCCTGGGCATGCTGCCCTGTGCACCAAGCGTGAACCGTGCTCCCCCGCCGAGCCTGGTTCCTTGCTCGCCCCCAGGACCCCGCCAGGGTGTGGGGCACGTGGGGGTCTTGCTAAGGGAGTCCCTGGGAGCTGTCTGAATGGGTGGAGCCCTGGGGCACTCTTCATGGGCTTCCCTGGGCACCTCTGTGGACTCAGGGCCGGGCTCGCTCCATTTTAGCTGTTTCCTTTCCCGGCTGAAATGGCCCCATGCCCCTTAAGTGCCAGTCACACCATCCCCACAGAACACGCGGGGCATCGAAGCAAAACGGAAAGGAAGGAATGAAGACGCAGAGGCAGGTAGAGTGCGGACAGTCTTATTGCGGGCACAGGTATCCAGGGTGCAGCAGGGAAACACTGCTTGGGGCAGGGGGAGGCTGCCGGAGTACTCAGGAGCAGGAGGAGGAGTACTGGAAGTACTCCCGCAGGGGCAGGAAGCAGGCCCTCAGCAGCCGCGTGGCTCCCGGCAGCGGCCCCCGTGCCCACAGCCTGCCCCGTGCCTGCAGTGCCGCCTCCTGCCCAGGCTCCAGCTCCGCGTGCCTGCTGGGGGGTCGTCCGTCAGGCAGGGTCAGGTGGCGGGGCATCTGGGAAGGGGCCACCGCCCCCCAGCCTCGTTACCTTTCCACTGCTGGGATGTTGCTCCACACCCGCACAGCGTTGGGGATGGTTTTATCGCACACACCTTGGATGGTCACTGGGTTGCTCTGCGGAACAGGCCGACAGGCTGCTGGCCCCACAGCGCCCCCTGGCCCTGCCCAACCCACCCTCACATGGGCTCTTTTCTTGCATTTGGGGACAGGCGCCTGGGGCTCCATCTCGGGGTCCCCTGGGCAGGGTGGGGGCAGCAAGACCTCGCTCCCGCAGGTGGACCCTCCTCCCTGCAGGGGCTGGACACGGGGGCCCCGGGGGTGATGGAAACCAGGCCCCATCCTGCATCCTACACGGATGTGCAAACCCACAGGATCCAAAGTCTGTGCCTCCAGGGCAGGCCACCAAGCAGCCTGTGGCAGGAAGACACCAGCTGGAGTGACCGTGGCCCATGGTAGCACTGACCCACAGGCTGAGGCCTTCAGGCATGGGACTTAAAGTCTTTGTGGGGTGTGACTGTGGGGGTGTGATTGGGGGGTATGTGTGATTGTGGGGGTGTGACTTTGGAGGTGTGTGATTGTGGGAGTGTGACTGGGGATGTGATGGAGTGTGGTTGCGGGGGTGTGTGATTGTGGGGGTGTGACTGGGGGTATGACTGTGGGGGTGTCGTTGTGAGAGTGTGACTCTGGGGATGTGACTGTGGAGCTGTGGTTGTGGGGTATGATTGTGATTATGGGGTGTGTGTGATTGTGGAGTGTGTGATTGTGGGGATGTAGTTGTGGAGTGTGTGTGATTGTGGGGTGTGTGGTTGTGTGTGTGGTCATGGGGGGTGTGACTGTGGAGTGTGTGTGGTTGTGGGGGTGTGATTGTGGGGATTGTGATTGTGGGGGTGTGATTGTGGGGTGTGTGTGGTTGTGGGGGTGTGGTTGTGGGGATTGTGATTGTGGAGTGTGTGTGATTGTGGGGTGTGTGATTGTGGGGATTGTGATTGTGGGGATGTGATTGTGGGGGTGTGATTATGGGGGATGGGGGAGTGACTGTGGAGTGTGTGTGACTGTGGGAATGTGATTGTGGGGGTGTGATTGTGGAGTTGTGTGATTGTGGGAGTGTGATTATGGGGTATGTGTGATTATGGGGGTGTGATTGTGGGGGGGGTGACTGTGGGGGTGTGATGGGCATCACAGAGTGCCCCAAGCCCATGTGGAGGTGCGTGTGAGGGCCTGGGCTCCGGGGCCTCTGCCCTGTGTGGCCCGCGGTCACTCACCTCCAGGAAGCGGGTGGCGATGTCCTGGTTGTCTGGGCCCAGCAGCAGGTGGTCTGCGAACATCCAGAAGAAGGGCAGGGGGCTGCCGGGTGCGGGCCGCACGTACTGCAGCAGCCGGTGGAACTGGAACAGGTACCAGCCTGCGGGCCCAGGAGCGCCAGGATGCACAGGGGTGCGGGTGGGAGTGTAGGCACATGCAGGGGTGCCGGGACACATGAGGATACAGGTGTGGGGATGTGCAGGGGTGCAAGTGGAGGCGGTACAGGTGGAGGGGTGCAGGGGTAAAGGTGGAGAAGGTGCAGGTGGAGGGGGCGCAGGGGTGCAGGTGGAGGGGGTGCAGGTGGAGGAGTACAGGGGTGCAGGTGGAGGGGTGCAGGTGGGGAGGTGCAGGGGTGTCAGTGGAGGGGGTGCAGGGGTGCAGGTGGAGTGGTGCAGAGGTGCAGGTGGAGGGAGTGCAGGGGTGTAGGTGGGGGGGGTACAGGGGTGCAGGTGCTGGCGTGGCCTTAGAGGGTGAGATGGGGCAGCTCTCACAAGGTGGGTGGTTGTAGGCCTGGCCGAGGGGGGGCGTCGAGCCGTACATGAGGTCGAAGGAGCCCCAGGCTTCCACCTGCAGGACAGGGGACTGCAGGGACCAGATGGACACTTGGGGCCCTCAGCCTGTGGCTGCAGCTATCTGATGTCATGTGGGCAGGCGCACCAGAGGGCTGGGAGGCAGGGCTGGCACAGCCATGGGCCCTCGTGTGGGTCCCTCCATCTCTGCCCTGCTCACCAGGCTCCCTGGGAGACCAGGCCGTTCCTCCAGCAAGGGGCAGGGGCGCTGCATGCCAAGGGCTGGCCTGCTTGCTCCGCCAGTAGCCCGGTGTGGGCTTGCCCATCGGTGCGTTAGCTGACCAAGTGGGGACACTTACATCCTTCCTCACGATGTCTGTGACATCCTCCACGTGCTTCAGCTGCCCTGGGCCAGCGTCGTCCCACAGGAAACCCAGACTTGCCAGCTCTAGGGGCGGAGCCGACACTGGCCTGTGGGCTGGACTCAGAGACCAGCCCCTGCCCGCCCTGGGGGCACCAACACTGGCCAGGTCTGTGGGCAGGACCCTCAGGAGCCCGAGCAGGGCTCTGGGCGGGGCTGAATCCAGCAGGGCCCCGGGGCTGCATGACCCTACATGCCTAACCCCCACCCCCCACACCAGAAGCAGCAGCACCCTGACTCCATGCGGCCTGGGGAGCTGCTTCCCAGGTCCTTTGGGTGTCTGGGGAAGTGGACAGGCTCCCACAGGCCCAGCACGAGGCAGTGCGGCCACACCCCTGGGCCCATGGGGCACCTGCCGTGAGGGGCCCTGCCAGGAAGCAGTGCGGCGGAAGAGGTCGGGTGGGCCATGACCGGTGCCCACACCCACCAGCTCAGGCCTTCCCGCCTCGCTGCCCCCTGCCCAGCATGTCCCGACTCCCTGGCCAGCAGCCCCCATCCCATAGGTGCCCCCACTCTCACCCCTCTTGGGCGACACTCACCGGGTCCGATGTCCCCGAAGAGGCACAGTGCTCGCAGGGGCCGCCGCCTCCAGACGGGCACAGTCTTGAACATCTCCTGCGGCTTTGCCTGTGGGCACACGTCCCGCTGAGC